AGTTTGTTCAAACGAAGGGCCACGCCCTTTTCCAAGGGGAGATAATCATGAATTTGTTAAAAATAAATGACATTTTTAAAAAATCTTCTTCTCAAGAACCACTGGGCCAGGAAAGATGAAACTCATGTGGAATAATCCTCAGGTTGTGTAGATTCAAGTTTGTTCAAATCATGACCCCTGGGGCAAGGGTGGGGCCAAAATGGCTGACCAAATTTTTACATAGGAATATAATTAGGAAAAATTCTTTAAAAATCTTCTCAAGAACCACTATGCCAGAAAAGATGAAACTCATGTGGAATCATCCCCAGGTAGTGTAGATTCAAGTTTGTTTAAATCATGACCCCCGGGGCTAGGATGGGGTCAAAATGGCTGACCAAAGTTTTACATAGGAATATATTGGAAAAATCTTTAAAAATCTTCTTCTCCAGAACCACTGGGCCAGGAAAGATGAAACTCATGTGGAATTATCCTCAGGTAGTGTAGATTCACTTTTGTTCAAATCAATACCCCCGGGGCAAGGGTGGGGCCAAAATGGCCGACCCAAGTTTTACATAGGAATATATAAGAAAAATCTTTAATAAAGTGCCGCGCCACAGCATGATACGCCCGTCAAAAAATTACAATTTTCTTGAACAGTTTAGGTGCAAGAAAATCACATCAACTTTGATTCTAAGATTTCGATGATTTTTCCATTCCTTAAAATATTTATCCATTCCCTGTGATGTAGGCATCAATTATAATAAATATTACATCACTGATAGATTTCTGTGCTGGTTGTGTTAGACCTTGTCAAATGCTCATCATAAAATTAGTCTTAACAACTTAATCTATACCAAATTAATTTTGAAAAAAAAGGCTGGCCATCAAATGACATATGTTATAAACTGACCAGCAGTTCTTCTGTCTAATCCCCAAAGGGCTGCTTAATCAGAGCCTTCCTACTATATTGAACTCATTAATTAATCTTTAACTGGATGCTTGTCTACTCATTACTACCAAGAGATGAATGGGTCTGCACTATCTACTATATATTTTTTTTAAAAACATATAAAATACTCTCAGATTTTTTTTTTTGGTTGAGATTTAATGTCCGACAGGTTTTAGTATGTAATTCATATGGACATGCTGATTCAACCCCACCCCATAAAATTAGTTTTTAAATTAATAAAATTGCATAATACCAGATTAGTCTATTATGAAATATCAAATTAGTTTTAATTACTTTTCATCAAATTCATTTCAAAACTTAAGCTAAGTCAACAAGAGCTATTTTTAATCAAACAGGCTTACCCATTTGCCCAATTCTCAAGGGATATAGATAACGCCAATGCTCTGTCAGTTAGCTCCTCGCACTCAAAACCCATTAATTTCTCTCTAATTTGACATGCAATTTTCTGTTATCAAAATTCTTCTTGACCAGTGCCTGATAATTACACTCATGGGAGACATGGGATACATTATATTTGTTTTAGACTGCTGTCAAGTATATGCTTAAAAAAATAAGTATTTTCTTGATTTAACACTTTTTGTCCCCCGCTTGAAAAGTGGGGGATATTAATTTGGGTTTGTCCGTCCGTCTGTCCGTCCGTATTTCTGTCTGTCTGTAACGCTTTCGTTTCCACACGATATCTCGAGAACCCTTTGAGCTTTTGCAATGAAATTTAGCATAGCAACTCACTATGGACTAAAGAAGACCCCTATTGATTTTGAGGTCAAAAGGTCAAAGGTCAAGGTCATAAATAAGCAAATTCTGTCTGTTAAAACACTTTCGTTTCCACACGATATCTCTAGAACCATTTGAGCTATTGCAATGAAATTTTATATAACAACTCCCTGTGGCCTAATGAAGACCCCTATTGATTTTGAGGTCAAAAGGTCAAAGTTCAAGGTCGTAAATTTATACATTCTGTCTGTGTGTAATACTATTATTTCCGGGCGATATTTCAAGAAGATTTTGAGCTTATGCAATATAATTTTATATCAAAACTCCCTAGGACGTCTCTCGCCCCTCTGAAAGTGCCCCGCCCCGTTTGTTTTATTAGTATTTATAGTACCAGTATTACATGTCGCTATTTTTAGCGCAGGGCATGAGGAGAGTTATTGCGTATAAAACAGTTTCTTGGCGGACTTTATGTTCTTATTACATCTATTCGAACTTTTTAATAAAGGCTAAATAAATCAAACAGCATGGATTGTGTAAAATTTTGAGAATACCGAACATGAAAACATGAATATATACATGTATGTGACTTCACTTCTGCATATACTTCGCATCCTGTAAAGCGATTCCGTGGTCTAGTGGTTATGTCTCTCGCTTCAAATGTGAGAAGTCACGGGATCGAATATCGATCGACCCCCTTTTTTTTTAAATCCCTTTTTTTTTTACTAAATGATAGTATTCAGCATGTGAAATGAAAAAATTATGAGGTTATAAAATCATCATTACAGTGTGATAAAAATTCCATATAAAAAAATCTTCTATACACATAATGAAGAATAAGCAATCAAATCTTTATATGCATATTGACATACATGTATTTTATTTGCTTCAGTATACATGTATACATTTAATAATTCTACAAATTCAGTCAGGGGGAGCCGACTTTTTCCCTAAGCGGGGGACACGAATTCTCTGAATTAGCTTGTTTTTTTAATAAGAACAGTGCAAAACTTTTACATTATTTGGGATGTGTAAATGAATAGTAAAAAGACACATTTTTTTTTTTAAATTCACTTAAATTAAAGGTCACAGTGACCTTGAAATAGGTCGCGACACACCTTCTACCTAAGATGCATAAACTGGCAAAGTTTGATGATTGTAGGTCTTATGGTTTTCTAGTTATGGGCCGGAAAGGATTTTTCCATATTTGGCTATAACTTCTTAATTAAAGGTCAGAGCGACCTACTTTTTGTGCGCGACACACCTTCTACCCAAGATGCATCAGATGACAAAGTTTGATAATCCTAGGCCTAGTAGTATTAAAGTTATGAGCCGGAAACGAAAAAGCTAACAGAAAGAAGGACGGACATGAAGCCTATAACATAATACGTCCCGTCTTAAGACGGGCGTATAAAAATATTCTTCTCCAGAACCACTGGGCCAGGAAAGATGAAACTCCAGTTTTACATAGGAATATATAAGGAAACCTTTTAAAATCTTCTTTTCAAGTACTTCAAAGCTATGATTAGTGATATTTATATGGAATCATCCTCAGCCAGTGTAAATTCTAATTTGTTCAAATGATGAACGCCTGGAGGGGGGGGGGGATAAATTCAAGCCCGATGTGCTCAGGTGAGCGCTGTGGCCCCTGGGCCTCTTGTTTGTCTAGGTGCAGAAAGACAAAAACTTATTAAAAACAAATTTTTATTTTATTGAAACTATTTAGGAAAGATAACTAACTATGGAAAAAAGGAACTTGTTGGAGGACAGAAACAAAGAGGGATAACTCATTGTGACAAACAATAACTCGTTTGCATCATTTTTGAAAATAGAATGTATAATCCACATTGCTGTAAAAGCACTCAAACAACCTTTTTTTCAATTAAATATTTTTTTTTCATTACATGTACTCTTTAAATTTAGTTTGTACTAAAGCAGATAAATAATTATGAATGTTATCATGGTTCTTATTCAGTATTTCTTATTGTCATACAGGTATTCAAACATTTATAGCAAAATCTTATTCATCATCATGCCAGTATGTTAAAACTTGGTACATGTACTAATTACAGAGTGAGGGGATTATCTGCAGGTTACATATACAAGGGATTTCAGTTAACAACTGTTTTATTCGACCTACCACAATAAGATATATATTCCCGAAATATTGCATATTAATTTCTTAATTTTTTGAAACAATGTGAAGAAAAATTCAAATGAATATTACTAATATTGATATCACATTTGAAACACAGAAAGATATCAGTCTTCTAGTATATTAAGCATCGCCTCTTAAGAACTTTATCACCTTCACTTACTACATAAAAATCCTGACTAAAGATCTAACATATTCACTAGACATAAAAAATCCTGTCTAAAAATCTAGCTCAAATTCACTACATAAAAATCCTTTCTAAAGATCTATCATATTCACTACATAAAAAATCCTGTCTAAAGATCTATCATATTCACTACATAATAGATCTAACACATTTCACTTCATAAAAAATCTATCTAAAGATCTATCATATTCACTACATAAAAAATCCTGTCTAAAGATCTAACACATTCACTACATAAAAATCCTGTCTAAAGATGAAGCTAATGTTCACTACATAAAAAAATCCTGTCTAAAGAAAAAGCTCACATTCACTATATACAAAATCCTGTCTAGGATCTGGATGACCTTCACTTACTACATTAAGAGACCTTAAGTCTAAAGATGTGAATCCCTTCAGTGCCTTCACACTACTCTCTAAACACCTGGATCACCTTTACCTTCACACTACTCTATAAACACCTGGATCACCTTTACCTTTACACTACTCTCTAAACACCTGGATCACCTTTACCTTCACACTACTCTCTAAACACCTGGATCACCCTTACCTACACAATACTCTAAAAACACCTGGATCACCTTTACCTTCACACTACTCTATAAACACCTGGATCACCTTTACCTTCACACTACTCTCTAAACACCTGGATCACCCTTACCTACACACTACTCTATAAACACCTGGATCACCTTTACCTTCACACTACTCTCTAAACACCTGGATCACCTTTACCTACACAATATTCTATAAACACCTGGATCACCCTTACCTACACAATACTCTAAAAACACCTGGATCACCTTTACCTTCACACTACTCTATAAACACCTGGATCACCTTTACCTTCACACTACTCTCTAAACACCTGGATCACCCTTACCTACACACTACTCTATAAACACCTGGATCACCTTTACCTTCACACTACTCTATAAACACCTGGATCACCTTTACCTTCACACTACTCTCTAAACACCTGGATCACCTTTACCTTCACACTACTCTCTAAACACTTGGATCACCTTTACTTTTCCATTCACTGCTATCCACAACCTATCCTCAGGGTCCACACTCAGACCAAAGATATCAAAACTATTTACTCCAAAATTATCCACACATCTCAATAACTCCCCATCCCTTTCTAGGATGTGTAGACAGCCATGGTTGAGGAAATCCAAATCATTGAAATCCCCCACAATGATCTGAAACAATGAGTTTGTCACAATATGATTGGGTTGGAACTCCACCTCCCTCATGGCTGGTGTACCGTCATATCGAAATCGGACTCTTCCTGCCTCCGTCAACACAACCACACTGCTGGCATTCACATCAGCGACGCAGAGATCTCCATTACCATTCTCAGCCATTCTCAGAGAAGTATATCCTCGTCCAAAGATTTCCCTGTTTTTCTTGTCTTTATAAAGTTCCTGTTTAACTGTTTGTCCCTGAAAGCTTACAATTTTATTTCGGCCGTCTTTCTCAAGATTAACAAGAATGTTCTCTGATGTACAACCTAGTGATTTTGGCTCCCAGTCTTTTGGTAGGGTGATCAGTACCTCTGTCTTCCCCTGGTTGACTTTGTTCACTGTTTTGTTATCAGGATCAATATAAACGAGCTCGTCTGATGAAGTCACAGAGAAGTCAACTACCTGACACGTGGTGGTTAGGGTCTCGTGTACGGTCCCGTGTAGGTCGATACATCTCAGGGTTTTATCAAAGTAAATAACCCAGGCTTTATCACCATCTACACAACAAACTTTCATTGGAAATCTATCCTTAGCAGAAATGATGGCAATGTCTCTGACTTTGGCAAATAATTCGGGTTCCTGTATCATTGTAGCCTTGTATTCTCCCAGCTCTATAAACAGTTCTCTGTCTTGACGTTTGTCTTCAGAAGTGTTCGTTACTAAGGCAAAAACTGGCTCATTAATGTCAATACAATCATAGTCGTTTTTGTATTTCATCAGTTGGGATTTATAATTTGTGACATCCGACACTTTGTTGGACTTCAAGATTTCCTTGTTTTCTTGAACTCTTTGTGTTATTTTTGAAATCATGTTTTCTAAATCTGATTTGTTTAATTCCATGACACACCAATATCTATTTTTCATGGACTTTATTGTTGAACTAAATTTGTCAAAGATGATGTCAACTTCCTGATGCCATAACTGTCTATGTTCTACCATTGCTTCTTCCATGTCTATGAAGTCTTCTGTTCTGCATGCCATGTTAATTCTCGCAGAAAGAGCCTTTTTCTCTACCATTGGCAAAAAACTTGATTCAATTTCTTGAGTTTCCTCTCGGATTTCTGCTTTCTTTCCAATGAAGAACTTTAACATGTCTGTTATACTGTGACCGTTATGGGACTTGATGATGCATTTAATGCAGACGGGGACATCACACTGCTGACATTGGGCCTCACATCTGTGGTTAGAATGAAATTCACAATCGGGCAAAACGAGCTTTGTCCTTTCCTTGATGGGAACTATGTCATGCGTTTGAGACTTGAATTTCTTGACATGTTTGTGGACGCACTTTGCACACAAACTGACTTGACAGCAGTCACAAAATTTCTTGGCAGAGTTCTCACAAAGATCACAGGTGATAAGTCCATTAGATCTGGAGCTGGGAGAAGCCATTATTTTGCTTTCATATCATTAATCTGAAAGTTAAGAAAAAAAATGAGCTGAGTAAAGTAGAAGTATTATAATTCCTGAATGAAATGACAAAGAAGACAGTTCTGATCATGATAATTGACTGGCATTATTCATTATAACATGAAGCAATCAGGCCTTAAATAAACAAGAGGCCCATGGTCCATATCACTCACCTGAGCACACAGGCTAGTTAAAAAACACAAATCAGCTTAGCATTGAAAAGTTTACATGTTGGAGTGGGGGGATTTGAATTTTCTATTTTTCCAACATATTACTTGATCTCCATTGTGACCCCTCACTAACTCCCCCCCCCCCCCTCCCCAGGCATTATTTGAATAAATATAAATCTACATTACTTGCAGATGCTAACATGTCAATTTGACTAAATAAAACTTTTCTGTTCTGGAAAAGATTTTTTCCTATATATTCTTATATGCAGATCCCTCATTGTTGCCACACCCTAACCCCAGGGGTCATAATTTGAACAAACTTGAATCAAAACTACCTGAGAATGTTTCCATTAGTTCCATATAAATAAAATTACTAATGATGGATTATCAATCTTGAAATTACATTACTGGAGGATGCTTCTATATAAATATCACCAATCATGCCATGGCTTGCAGTTCTTAAGGAGAAAATTTTTAAAAGATGTTTCCTATATATTACTATGTAATGCTTTGATTGCTCATTATGGCCCCACCCTTCCCCCCGGGGTCAAGATATGAACAGACTTGAATTTACACTAAGTGAGGATGTTTCCATATTAATATCATCAATCATGGCTTTGCTGATCTTGAAAAGAAGATTTTATAAGATTTTTCTTCCATCATGTCCATATCACTCCCATGTAAAACTTTGATCAGCCATTATGGCCCTGCCCTACCCCTGGGGGTCATGATTTGAACAAATTTGAATCTACACTACCTGAGGATAATTCCACACAAGTTTCATCTTTCCTAGCCCAGTAGTTCTTGAGAAGAACATTTTTAAGAAGTCATTCATTTTTTACTTAATCATAATTAGCTCCCTTTGCAAGAAGGCGTGGCCCTTCATTCGAAAAAACTTAAATCCCCTTTACCTAAGGATATTTTGTGGCAAGTTTGGTTAAAATACGTTATATCGCGACTACCAATGCGTACCTCGCAGTTATCTAACTTACTGCCGCTCTTTTGCGAGGGAGTCGAGAAAAGTCTAATTTCTGGGGGCAAATGACATCGTTTACAGTAGTGACAATCGAATGATTCGAACAATTTCATGCCGTAATCATGATGTTTGCCAGATATTGAACTCCAAATAGTAGATTGTCAAATAAGAAAAGTTTAGAATATTTTATCTGCTTAAAAATGTGACGATTTTCAATGAAAATTTAACGAGAAGAGTCCGCTTAATTAAAAATATTGTTAAAAATGTGACAATTTAGGATCTGCTCCTCTCAAAAATATATTAGGCTGGTTCAAAGTATTCCACAAGGAATTTTTACTTATCTGTTCTTATAAATGCTACAATGATCGATCTTGCTTTGTATTGAATAGCTCATTGCCCCCATCCAACAGACGATTCCTATCTCCTTCGCGAAAGAGTTCCGCTAATTTAAGTAATCGCGATGTGGTTCTTGAGAAAAAGATGAAAATATGAAAAGTTTAAGATGACAATGACAACGACGACATAACGACAGACAACGGACAAATTTTGATCAAAAAAGCTCACTTTAGCCTTCGGCTCAGGTGAGCTAAAAATGGTTTGTTTGCAGTTACCACTGACTCACTAAAAATGCACCCGACTCAAACTTTTATCAGCCAAATTTTGTTTGGAAGTTTCAAATTTTTTAGATGTTCAAACTTGTTTAATTTTTAGGTCTTTCCACCTTTCTGTGGAAAGACCTATTGATTTTCTTCTGTTTATTATTATTCTTCCCTATTCTTATTTTTCTTCCACTGATTTTTTGTTTCGACATTTATCGAAAAGACTTTTTGTTCATCGTAAAGGTCATTAAAAGTTAGGAACAAATTTGACCCAACGCTTATGAACTATAACCCCTTTCGAAGTTATTGCCCTTTACGCAAGAAATGCTTGTTATCGCTACTCCTCCGAAACCGTAAACCGTAGAAATATGAAACCATTACAAAAGTCTTCGACTAATTGAGAGGACTCTGGAATCTATTCACTGCAAAAGTATTCGGAGACCCCTTATATGAGTTATTGCCCCTGAAAGTCTTTGAATTTTACAAATAATTTAAAATTTTCAAAACGAGAAGGTGTAGAGACATGGGACCAACTGCATAAGATTCAATGACCTTTGATCATGAAATTCATGCAAAAGTCAAAGGTCAAGGTCATTCCAAATTTGAGAAATTAAGTTCTTTTTACATCTTTTTTGGCTTTTAACATATACAAACTGTCCTAGCATCATTAATTTGTACTCTTAAAACTATTTTAAAGATTTAATATGTATTCCTTAAGATTGACCCTATTTAAAGTTATCGCCCTTTGTACAAAAAAACTTGTTATCACTACTCCTTCGAATTGTGATTATTATGTTGTGATAAAAATACCCCGCAAATGGCCTTGAAGTTACATCATATTTTACATCATCAAAGGGGAATAATCATAGGCGCTTGTTGCTAGCGCTCTCGAGTGCTAGCAACTACGCTAGTCCAAATTCCTTGAATACGCATGCTCGGCCGCCATGGTCGTGCATTCTGGGAAAACTGTGAAAACTGCTAAAGATAGACCGTACGATAACAATTTCGTTGTATCGTGTTGTAGCATGAAATAACTGTTCATTTATTGTGTAGCTTACACTTTAAAGAGAACTTCATATTTATAATATTTCAAATTTTGGGGGTTTTTTTCTGACGGAAAAGCCCGAATCATTATCTAATTGTTCTAAACAATGACAAGGGAGGTTGTTTTTTTTTTTTTTACATCTAAGCACAATCAAAGATAGATTCTAATTTCTGATTGGTCAATTCAGCCAATCTTACAATTTCCAGAAACAGAAGCAAGAATTTACACGAAAAATAGCGAATAAATCCACTATTTGTGTTTAAAAATTCTGATGTGTATGGCTTTTAACCTAACATATCTTGACAAAGATGACCCAAAGGACCAATTAAGCTACTTCACATGCATTCCAAACTCTCTGGGCTCTTTACACGACATACATTTTGAGTTATTTTCTATATTCCTTTTAGCTCCCATGTATTTTCTTTGCTACATTGCCAAGAAATTCTCTTCTTTAAATCAGCTCATACATGCAATGTCTCAATCGGCATCTTCTTCATATTATATAGACAGTTTTCATATGACCTAATTTTAGCAAAAGTTACCTCCCGTTGGCCGCCATACTGGAGGTCAAAATGCTCATATTCCTTCATTGTTCAACCAATTTTAAATTTTTATATTTGCGATTTTGAATCGGGAATCATTATTTTTCTGAAGTATATAAATTTTTGGAAGCCTCTTTTATGAAGAAAAAATTATTTAATAAAGATTTTCCACCAAATATTTCTGCTATATTTTCTTAAACTTGGTAAGACAAAGAGGAAAACTCACCGTGTCGACCTCCAATATGGCGACCAACGGGATGTAACTTTTGCTAAATTTGGGGCCATCGAAAACTATCTATAGAGCCCCCAATCCCCCCTCTCCAGTAAAGGTCATATATGTTCCGTTGCAGCAAAACTCCAATAGGTCACCCCCCCCTTTATTTCTTAACCTTTGTGTCTATAAAATACGCCTCACAGAACAATAATAACTTTATCACTCTCCAGCCTTGATAAAAATTAAAGAATTCAGCAAAATAAATCACTTGATCACGGATCTTCCTTTCTGTGTTTAAAAAATGCTACGGCGCTAGCTCACCTATCTTTTTAAAAGATAAACTTGTTTCATACAATAGGCTAGGTTTTATACCCGAAATTTATGATTTTGCAATTTTTAGAGTTATCGTTCTTTTAAATTTGACTTCCACGGAAGAGTCAGACTTGGGTGAATTTTGTCAGGGATTGGTAATTTTATATAAATTATAGCGAGCGCAGCGAGCGTCGCGAAGCGACGCTCGTCACTGCGAGCTCTTAAAGCAATGCCTGCGCGAAGAGAAAATTCGGACTACTGCACATTCAATCGATGGAATTTTTTGACGCCGTAATTTTGACCCACAAAGCAACGCTTAGTACACAACGCTAAAGCAACGTTCTCGCGAGAATAGAAACAAAAAGTTAAACGAATAAAAAACTTGCCCTGATTTAATGAAATTGTTGCAGAAAATAGTCAATAAAACGGTTCTTCATTTAAAATCAGCCCTGTTTAGGCCTGATTTTGATAATGCAAAATACATACGACGTCATATGACGTCAGAGGCTAAAACACGCTGAATGTCACGTGCGGTTTGACGAGTCCGATCTAAATGAAAACTGGATAAGTATCCGCGCTCGCCCTAACGGTCGCACCGTCAACATATTAATGAAATTTCACGTCAATGTTTGTTTAATTCTTATTAGAGCTGGTTTTTACTAGTATGCTAATTTAAGGTAAGCACTAACATTTTCATACAGAACCCAGCTGACACCTGTTTTTTGCAGAAAAAGAAAATAAAAACTATATTTTCAGTCAAAATACAAGTAATTGATATATGACGTCTGGTATTTGACTCATTTTATTTCTACAAACCAGAGTATGATAAACCATGAGAAAAAGGCGCGAATTACCGCATTTTAAAGCATTTCTAAGCTACATACTTACAAGTTTTCACCTATCTTGAACAAAAAGCAAAACTGTTCAAAAGATTTATAAATTCAAAAGGAGAAATAGTTGACACTTAACAAACTTACTTTATTCTCGGGTAAGTTGAGATGTAAATGCCAGAGACATCCTTGCAATCTTTATTATACACAGTGTATGCTCGACTTCCGGTGGTGATAGAGGGCGCAATTCACGCCTTCACGCCACTTCCTTTTCACTATACTAGGGCTTCATCA